AAATATTGTGAGCGCAAAGTCAATAAAACAATCTTCTTTACACGTACGAAAGCCTCTAAAATGGCACGGTTATGTCTGGCCCTTTCTTTGTCTTTATACCGTGTGGCTATACGTATATTCATTCGCGTACGAGGAGTATATCGTGTCTGAGGAATGGACATTTTTAACTCTTGGAAGCCTGATAACAATAAACGCATTGGTATTTCTGAGCTGTCAGTGGAGCATAAGAGCGAAAGCGTTCTTTACCTGTAAAAAGGTGGGTACCTTTTGTCTTTGTTTGTGAAGATTTCTTCTTCTTAGCGGGACCTAATTATTCTTGACCTCCAAAATGGCAGCAAAATGATATTTCCAAGGCGAAAGTTATAAAAATAATTCCAGCACCACATAAAGGCAAAGGTGAATTATGCGATCTACATCACGCGAAGGTTTGTTCTATTCTCGTTTAAAAGAACCAGTTTCGATGTGTATAAAATACAAAATTAATGAATTTTTTCCTTGTATAATATATATTCATATTCAAAGAACGGAGAAATATCGTTTTTTTACCAAAAGAAAAAGTATATATGGAATGAAGATAAAAAAGTTTTTATAAAATTGCATTACCTGTGTGATTTAAAGCCTCCGATTTCAACATTTCAAAATGCCAAAGGCATCGAAACCCTTAACGAAATTAAATTAACCCAAGAGACTTATGGTCACAATAGGTATTAAAAAGAATTTTTATTTTATTTTATTTTATTTTTTTGTTGCGATTACAATTCACCACTATTGAATAAACTTATCTTTTTCGTTTCAGGTTTGACATTCCTGTACCAACCTTTCGTGAATTATTTAAAGAACACGCTGTTGCACCATTCTTCGTATTTCAACTTTTTTGTGTTGGTCTATGGGTTATGGACGAATACTGGTACTACTCGGTGTTTACATTATTCATGCTCGTAGTGTTTGAATCTACTGTCGTATTTCAGGTAATAAAAGAGGTTGATCTTTTTATAATCAATATATGTTGTTCTAATTAATTAATACTTACTTTGATATTTTTAGAGATTAAGAACCTTGGCAGAGTTTCGAACAATGTCAATCAAACCATACTCAGTCAATGTTCGGAGAAATAATCGATGGGTTAGTATCTATTCCGACGAACTTTTACCTGGAGATTTGGTATCTATAGGTAAGTCATTAAATATTAGATGCTTAATAAGAAAGGGTTTATCAATCAACAATAAACATCATTTAGTTCGCACCAAGGAGGATAGTGGTGTCCCCTGCGACATGATACTTGTACATGGCAGTTGTATAGTGAACGAGGCCATGTTATCCGGCGAATCGACACCATTACTAAAGGTATATGATCTCATACACGCCGTTAATTGTATAAACTCGTATGGAAAGGTTACAAGTCAAAATTTAAAATTTATAGGAATCGATTGCTCTCCGCGATAGTAATGATATACTTGATATGAATGACATCGATAAAAACAGCATCTTATTTGGTGGTACTAAAGTTTTACAAGTAACCCCGCCTTCTGATGAAGACGCGCTTGCTGGTATGTTTTTTGTAG